TGGGGGGTCCTCCTAAGTTATAGCACGTACAAGAAAAGACTCTTGTCGGGTGCAGCCATCAAAATAATGGTGCTCAAGACCATTACCACTTGCCTTCCCAGAAAATCGTTTAAGGGCTTCTGGGTAAGCGTCGGGCGCATATTAGAGGTGATCTTGGTGCAGGTGACGGCACACCATAGGTTTTGCTTGACATGCCTGCCTCCTGGGAAGTGTTGTACTTCTGGTTGGATACGCTGTTGCAAGCCAGGGATTCTTTGCTTTGCAGAGACAGGATACGATAGTGATTAGCTGCGATAGCTTCCCGCAGCAGCTAATGTGTTGAACTGTCCGGCGTGTGACCGGGATCGGCAGAATTTGGGTTTGCAGGGTTAGAGTTTAGGGTCTTAAATCAGGTAGCATCATGCAGTCTCATATAATCACTACGACAGAATAGCAGTTCGTGTTTGGTGATATGCCTGCCTGTCTTCAGATCCCTTTAAACAATTCCAGTTTCCGCTTCATTCCAGCTGTTTTGCATTTGATTTCCATTCTTGGAGGAAAATGACCTCTAGATCCCTATAGTACTACAGCATCCTCAATCATAAAGTAAGTCCTTTCCACATCATTTGCCATGTACTTTTCCGTTTGGTTCAACAACATCGAGATGGGTTCTAATGCAGGCCTGCATACCCTTCTACACCATTTCATTGTCCGTTTCTCTTCCAGTGTCCGAGCCGTTCGTAGCATTGCGCCGTCGTTAAAAAGAAGTTTTTGGAAACCACAACCCCTCAAATTAGTATCCTATAATTCTTATATAAGTGCATCAGGGTCTTACTTGTGGGACTTGAGCGTATAAATCCCTTTGACCAGCTAGACCCTCAAAACTATACATCCGCTGAAATGCCCTGAATTAGGAAACCCCATAGGTCCAAGCCGCCTTCTATACCTAGACCCTCGAAAATTGCAGTACTCTGGAACCCCTTTAAGGTGCAAGATATCTCCCACCTAAACCCTAAACCCCTTAAACCCCAAGCCCTGAACCCTTTAAACCCTTTAAACCCTGAACCCTGAACGCTAAACCCTAAACCCTACCTAGGTCACAACTGCGGAGCCTCCGATATCATGGTTACTCGGCCAAGCCTTGGGAGGATGCTCAGGGCAACATCGCACCTGGGCTGGGTTTAGGGTTTAGGGTTTAACTTCATCGTTTAGTTTAGGGTTTAGGGGTTTAGGGGTTTACGGTTCATAGCTCTGGCATAGGTTTGAGGGTAGGTGAAAAACATGTTGCATGCTTATCCTGCTCTTACAGGCCTGTACGATTGCATTATTTGTGCACCCTATATTTTTGTGGTTATGTAGGTTGTGAGAGCTTCGGGTGGCATCTAAGAAACAAGTCTTATGCAGTGATATTTAGGATATACGCGGGAATGGAAAAGAATACGGAAGGTACACTATGTAGGGTTCAGGGCCTCTCATGGAACATGACATGCGTGGATGTTGTGAACAAACTAGCAGAGCAAGCAGATGGAAATCTCTCGCTAAACCCTAAACTCTGTGGGGCCCTGGAAACTCCGGTCAGTTTAGGATTTAGGAATTTGGCTTTCGGATTCCAGCATGGGGGACCATACGCAGGTTGCGGGAGTCCCAATTTAGGTATTATAGACACAGGGTTTTTTCAAGCCACCATATGAGGGTTTGTTAAAGTTATTCTCCATTGTGGGCTGTTCAAAATATGAGCAGCTATAATATTCCAGGGACCCAAACATGGACCACAAGCTTGATAACCCTCCGTTTTGCATTTTTACATGTACTTATTCATTGTAGATTACACCCTGAACCCTAAACCCTAAGCCCTAAATCCTAAACCAGTATCCAAGGTATGGCCATGGATTAGGATAAAGCTTGCCGCCGTTGTCTTTTCGCAGACGTTTGAGATGGCCATGGGGGCCCTAATTCTCGGCAACCTTGTGCTCATTATGTATGAAGCTGGGTCCACAGGGCTTGCGATTTAGGATGTAGAGGTTGGAAGGTTGGATCCTTCATCGTCATTTCTTGGGGTTTCTCCTTATAGCTCTCTAAGCGCCAGGCGGATCCCTTTCCTTCTAGGTGAAGATGGGCTAAGGAAACAGATGAGGATGCAAAATGCTATCCGGATTATGCAGAAGATTTTGGCCTTTGTCCGTTCCGCAGCGATCATGTACTGTGGGTGCAAATCACAAATCTTGTGGTTTTGCTGCTCTACTCGCTGGAGTGTATGGTGCGGATCTATGTCGAACGAACTCTCTTCTTTTGCAACAGGTGGAACCAAATTGACTTTATCATTGTAGGCTTTGGCTGGCTAGACTTTGCCCTGGCAGACACACTCAGCATCAGCCTGTTGAGAATGTCGAGGTTGATTCGTGTCGCCAGAGCTGTGCGCTTACTGATTTCCATTCCAGAATTCTACTTGCTCATCAACGGCCTCTACTCTTCCATAAAGGCTATCCTCTTTGGTGCGCTGCTGCTCGTGTCCGTGATTGTCATTTGGGCTGTGGTTTCCGTCCAGCTGCTGCATCCTATCACTTCGCGACAATCCTATCCGATGTGCCAGAGGTGGATGTTGGGCTTGAAAGTTGTATGTCAGAAAATCCCGGAGCCTTATGACAAGGATTCTCTGTTTCACGCTCAATCTTGGGGCCGAAGGAGAGAAGATGTACATACATACATTTTATATGGTACAAATGAATACACATACCCATGTGTATATACATATCTGTACATACATGCCTTTCTAAAACCTCTTCCAGGGTAGCAACACTGAGTCCGGCATTGGGGTTTTGCAAGGGCTTGCAATAGCCTATGCGCGTGCAACCTCGCGCAAGGGCAGGTGCAAGACAAGAATGTCTTCTTTTGCATATTGACTACGCATACAAGTGTACAATATGTGAAAATGCGTATAATGCATATAGTTTCCCGCACGTGCAACACGGCACCAGGGCGCGCGCAAGAAACCTGAACTTCGGATCATCGATGCTTCAATTCAGAACAGCATCCGTATACACATGTTACATATATGCTTATTTACTTGCGTGTTTATCAGCTAGTGCCATACACAAACATTTTACAGATGCAGAAATGTATGTGTAGGTCTGCACATTTTTTGTGTACATATATGTGTGCATACATCAGATCACATCACATGACGTTACGTCACGCCACATGCATGCATGCATGTTCGTAGGCGCACGCATACACATACACGTGCATACATACACATGTACATATATGTGTGTGTGAGGTTACATATCTAGAGATGCCGGTGTAGGCACCTGCGTGTATACATTTACTGATAGACAAGTTTATGCGTTTACCAGGAGATCCTGAGCTTGAAGCATAGTCTTGGTCGGGTAGGAAAACACGCGAGTCTTGGGGATTTCCAGAACATAAGGGTCCGTCACATAAGATGGGTTATCACACATTGGTGGTATTTTTTGTGCCCTAACCCACAGGTCCATGTAGCTACTATATATATATATACACATATATATATATATGCATTTGGTCTCTGATGTAGGTATATGGGAACCCCATTGGGCTGTAAGTATATACCATATACCCACATGATTCCTTCGGGATACCTAGCCCCGAGGTGTCCGACCGGATTCAGCACTGTCTTTAACGCAGGGCTCACGCTCTTCCAGCAGTTACTGGATTGCTGTTAAGGAACTTAAGTTCAGCTACCAAGATAAGATTTGGAGTTTCGAGTTTCTACAACAGGGATCCTTCCACCCACCTACCTTCATCTGATGATAAGGAGTTTAAATTAACGTGCCAGAATATGGATAGGGCGTAGGGTTTGGGGTTTAGTAGTTTAGGGGAGCCCGGCAAACTAGCAAAGCCCGGATGCAAAAAAAAGTAGTTTAGGGTAGATAGTAAGGTTTCATAACTTTGGTAACCCTAAACCCTAAATCCCTAAACCCTGAACCCTTAAACCCGAACTTAAAGCAATCCAGGCTAGTGGCCGGCGACTCCTGGGGCCAAATCAACATCCCATTGGCAGCCTGGCAGCGGATTTAATCCCTGAGTTTGGGGTTCGGGGTTGAAGGGCTTTGGTGGTTTTTAAGGTTTATGGTTTTTGTTGTTTTTGGTTTTTAGGGTGTCAGGTGTTGAGGGTTTTTAGGGTTGAGGGTTCCAACTTTTACCGCCACCGCCCCTACGGCATAGCATGGGGGGAAGAATCAAGATTAGGGGGCAGAGAGTTTCAGTATTGGCTGAGTTTAGGGTTCTCAGCTGTAGAGGTCTAGGAAAACATATTTAATTTGTGCACATATAACCCATATAAGCCGACGAGTTACCCCAGTAACACCCTGTATTAAGGGACTCCATAAGTCTCCCCGATCCTCCAAGTAGATGGCGGGAACAGCGGCAAACGAATGTGCACTCAGATAGCTAAATTCTTCCATAGCAGGATCGCTCCCTAAACCCTAACGCCTACACCTTGGGTACTGCCACCCTCAGTAACAGTTGGATAATGATTATAATATGATTGTATATACCCCTTAATAGGACCCCTAATATAGACTGTTACTGGGTGGGGGCAGTACCCAGCCTACACCCTCCTTTCGATATGACATAGTTCCTGGCAGACGGAAGCTAAACCCTTGACCCACAGTGACCTGAGCAGCTCAAGTGGAAGCATGGCTCTACGTTAAACCCGTGGGTACTGCCCCCACCCAGTAACAGTCTATATCAGGGGGTCCTATTAAGGGCTATATATAACCATATTATAAGTATTATCCAACTGTTACTGAGGGGCGGCAGTACCCAAGTTAAACCCTAAAGCCTGAACAGTAGTGAAAGCCAGAGTTGTTAAAATAGCGAGGCAGGAATGATAATCGTTTAGGGTTTAGGGTTTAGGTTTTAGGGTTTTAGCGTTTAGGGTTTAGGGTTTTTTAAGGGTTTAGGGTCTAGGGGTTTAGGGTTTAGGGTGACAGTGTCAGTACACACATAGGCATAGTAGGAGTAAGAAAGCAAGGTGGAAACAGCGCCCCTGACTATGTTCCTCCTGTTTGCCATGATGATGACGATTTCCCTGGGCCTCATGAACTTGATCTTAGCCGCCGCCTGGTGAAGGGGTTCAAGGGTTTAGGCTTAAGGTTTAGGGTGTCATTATATGGGCCCCTATAGTCCCTAACAGGATGCTTGCGTTTAGGGGAGCTCCCGTAGAGCTAGGGGGGGCCTTATCAACCCCATGATGAAGGATGAAGCCGCACCTGCTAGCTGCCCAGCAGATAGAAGTTGATAGCACAACATTAACCACAAGGTGAATCTTGGAAAGGCCTAGTTGCTGGATGCCTAAGTGTTTGTTATTCTTGCAAGCTTTTGCCTTTGTTTGGGGGGGATTGAATTCTTTCGTGAGTCATCCTAGGCTTATTTTTGAAGGTCTACATTCTTAAGGGATAGGGCTAGTGGCTTTTGCACGTAGCTACATCTTTCGCGGCGATGCCTTGTACAAAGGTTATTGTTGAAAGAGCGGCGGAAGCACGGGAAAATGACCACGAGGAGAAGATCAAGCAAAAACAGAATCAGAGGGCCCGGAGCATGGAGGACTTGGCAAAGCTTTCTGGCAAATGAAAACTAGGTACCCCTGCCTTTTCATGTTGGGGATCTTCTTATTGAAGCTGAATATTAGGAAAAGGATAAAGGGTACTCTTATCAGAAGAGGGTTACTGGGGAACCTAGAAAATAGATGGGGACTATGTAGGGTTTTAGAAAGACATCACATCATACAAGGGTTTTATAGGGATTCACAAGGAATTTTTATTGGGCCAAAATCATAGCAACCTCACCTGACCTGACCTTAAATTGTCGCTCATTTTTAAAATTGTCCCAAATTGGCCTTCAATTTCGGGTTTTCGAATTATTCTAAAATCCTCAGGCTTTGTGCCAGCATGGATATCGACAGCAACGGGTTGATCTCCTTGGCGGAGATGAAAAAAGGTTATGACGAAGTCGATGAGTTCGCGAAGCTGATGCAGGTCATGGATATGAAGAAAGAGGACCTTGTCGTTGGGTACTCCTAAAGGTCCAAGGACCCAAATAGTAGTAGGGTTCTTAGGGCCCACACACTATACAATTAATGGTATTTGGGCCCTAAAACCCTAGTATTTGGGTCCTTGGATCCTTAGGGTACTGTAGGGAAACTGCATGTTTTTTTTCACTTCCTCTTTCCTTATGACGCACACTGTAGACTTGTGATGGCCTTGGGAGCTCAGCAACTGAGAGGACATGGAAACAGTGTTTAACGTCATGGCAGACAGCGTCACGGACGAAGTCTCCTACCTAGACTTCTGCAAGAGCCTGAGTAGTTTCGTCAAGCGCGACCCGATCATAATGCAATCGCTGGTGAAGTTTTCCGTCATGGAAGTGCGAAAGATACTGCGGGAAGAGGTCTTGACTGTCCTGGACGAAGCTTACTTTCTCAAGGGGAGAACTTTACAAGAGTTTCTATGTGAGTATAGTTGATTTTTTGAAAAATGTGAAGCCTTTTGGGCCCTACTTCTGAAGAACCAACTATGAGGTCTTGATTAAAAGATTTGTTCAACTTGTTTGTGTTGTGAACCCTAAACCCTAACCCCCAACCCCAAACCCCAAAACCCTAAACCCCATCTGATCTTAGACAAAGAGAGAGGAACACACAGACATGCTACGCGAGCTGCTACCTCAAAGGCCGCAGCGAGAAGGTTGCAATGTACCGGAAACTGGATTGGGGTTTGGGAGGATTTCGGGTTGTGGGTTTGGGGGTTAGGGTTTAGGGGGTTCGGGGTTTAGGGGTTTAGGGTTTAAGGTTTTAGGGCTAAGAGCTTCGGGTCTAGGGATTGGGGTTTAGGGTTCGAGATTTAGGATTTAGGGTTAAGTTAAGTTACTACCAATGGAACTTCAGTTACCACGACGGATTTCCTGTCAAGCTTTACTTAAGAGCTGTATAGGGTCCATGTTGAAGCTGCCATAGCACGGATACGTAGCAACTAAGGCAATTAAGGGGATTTCCTGACTTATGGTACCTTATAGCGTAAGTTCCCTAAGAGCAACCCAGGAAATAGACGGTGTCGAAAGCAGCACCCTCTTTAAGAAGAGGGCGGACATGGGTGATTCCAGAAGCCGACGAGTGCTTCAGGATGGCCGACGCAGCTTGGCTGCCATGGATTAGGTGCCTAGGGAATCAGAAACCCATTGGGGCAATATCAGGGTAATATTGGGGTTATATGGGGATAATGGAAAACAAACTGGAAACTATTATAATGGGATTATATGGGTTTTACGCAGGGTTTAGGGCTTAGGGTCTAGGGTAGTAACCCCATATAGCCCATACAATAACCCTGATTGTACTGACCTATTTCTTGAGTCCCCTAAACCCTAAACCTTGAAGTAGAGCCACCCAAGGCAAAGCGCAGGACGCTACATATGCAGGAGGAATGTCCTCCCTGGCAGCCATTCACTCAGAGTTGCAGCTGCTGTTGGCAAAGGCAGCTTACTTAGCCAATACAAGAACGCGGTTTAGGGTTCAGGGTTTAGGGTTCAGGGTTTAGTGTAACCTTGTTGGACTTCATTTTGGGTCTCTATGATACAGTACTTTTTTCACGCCCTGTTTATTGGGGAAGAGAGGCAGAGGCGATTGCCGACAGCGTGCTCAATCCGAGCAACATGTCTGAGGGAATCGGCAGCTTAGATGTTGCCAGTTCAGAAGTAGTAAATGGCCAACCTGACCAACTGCCGGACCTCCTTTGTTCCGGATTCCAAGACATTGCGCTAGAAGCAGAACACTTGCGGAAACAGTGTCACCAAATTGTGAACAATTTAAGCTTCCAGTTCAGGCATGGACTAGCCAGCGACACCGAAGGTGTGAGCTCTGCCATGTATACGGTAAAACAATTCTAGCGTATTCTTCAGTCTTCCTGCATGTCGTCAATGCGTGGAGGACTCAAGACCTTCTGTTGAGAAAGCGAGGCGTTCTGAAAAACAGGCTTCATGCTGATGGTAGGGGGGGGAGGTGTCAGTCTACGTTGTTAGGGTTTAGGGCTCAGAGGGCTGCAGAAAGACTAGGCAAGCAGAGCGAATAAGCCCAGGGGCATCATACATGCTTCCTATCCCGCGCCAATATGCATACCTATGCGTGTATGTATTTATATGCATACACATATACATACATGTGTGTTTTCCAGGGTGTAGAAACACCATGTGCTCTTTCAAAGGCCTCCATTCCACGAATCGTACCAAGACAAGAACAGTAATACTGGATTACAATACTTGCCTGTCCAGCGGACAACCTTCTATCTTCTTGTGGGCAATAGAAAACCCGTATTATACGAAAGTGAGAACAAGGTTAACCTTGCATTCATGATGATCATGGTCGCAGCGATAGCAATAACCAACAAGCTACAACAATAACAACCATCACTGGCTCTACGCAGGCTCCTGGAGCAGGCTCAGCATATCCGTCGGCAACTTCTGCGAGCTCGATCGAAGGTTGAAGACGCAAAGACACGCGCTGAGGACAGGGGTGAGGTGAAGAGAGTGGGAAAATCAAAGCTACAGACGCCTTTTTGGATGTAGCCCTGCGGTTCCATAGCTCTGGGGCTGTGGAAGATATCTTCTGTCACAGCTTCTGCAAGTTTCTCTGGAGGTGTTGATGCGGTGCTTCGCTGCTTTGTGTAGAAGTATAATTAGGGAGCAGAAGCTGGTCACAAAAGGTGTACCTAATGAGGGCGATGTGCATGAGTTGACGGTCGTAATCGTGGGTTTTTGGATGACTTGAACGTGCACTATATCAAGCATTAGAAATTGTATGAGCCCTTACCTTAAATCCTAAAATAGAAGTCCTAAATCCTGAGTGCTTAGCCGTGTGACTGAGCCTAAGCCATCTCGCTGGGTCCCCTTCCAGGTACACGTAGGAATCCTTAATACCGCGATTATTCCATGTTCAGCCTGGTATAGTTGTTGTACAACATACCGCGCCACTCTATTCTCAGCAAAGGGGCCACAGCGCGACTGACTTGCAAGCTCACAGACATTTCGATGGGTTCGTAAAAAGACCCCTCTAAGGCAGCCCCGCAAAGCCCAAACTCCCTCTCAGAGATTGTTGGGGCCACATAAAGACGATAATGGACCCATTGGGGCCTGTTGGGTCGTTTGGGTGTGGGGGTCTCCTTGTGGCGAGGCCCTGAACCCTGAATCTTAAGCCGAGACTTCTGCATCTGGCTTCAAGTCGATCACGGTCTTGGCGCTGGCGTTCGGATGGTTTCGGGGCCAAACGGGACTTGTTTGTAAACGTCTTTGTTAAGAGGGACCATCGGAAAAATATTCCTTATTTGGAGAAGGAACAGAAGTGAAAAGGGGCTGCGCCTGAGTGCTGTTTTGGGGATGGGAATTTGGAACAATCACCAAATGAACCATTGTCCTTTCAGCGTGCCAACGACAGCATGGTCTCCAACACACTGAGGGCGTTGTTTTAAAACCCTAAACCGTGTCTGGGGAGATGTGAGCATCACATGTAACGAGTGTCCCAGGTGTCCGGTTTGAGGGTTGGGTTGCGAAGCTCTTGCAGGCTTAGTAGCTGAGTAGTTGCGATGTACTCTTCCTCGGCTCCTATGACCTCATGCATTGGGAGCCCTGATTTTATCCCTTTCTAGTCGCCCCTGGAAGGCTATGGGAGACCCTTAAAGCGAAGGCCCCTGTAAAGCCCCTGGAGTCTTTTGAAGCTCCGGGAGCTGCTGGGGCTGCGGACACCCCCCCCGGCTCTGGGGCCATGGTCCAGGAATCCCGCCGCTGAGATGGGAAAACAGCGTTGCAGGGAGGTTCCGCAGGGGTTGTCCTGGGAGGCTTGACCCTCCCAGGCGCGTAATATCTAAGTGGAGGCTTGTTTGACCTAGGGAATTCAGCAACTGGGCAGGAGAGATGCCTCAAGATCTTGCACTTGGCACAGGAAACTGATGGTTGGGGCCTTTGTGTGACCTTCAGGTTTAGGATTTAGGGGTTCAGGGTTTAGGGGTTTAGGGTTAGCACGAAAAAAAGCTTGCTGCGTTAAGTCCAGCAACTTCTGTGAAAGCCTCATTATTCCTAAGAGTAGCACTGTTTTCCGGAACTGCCAAATCAGGTTACCATAGCATATGCCAAGCCCTATGTAAGCTTTCTGCGCATTTTTTCTGTGGCGGAGCTTGCAACCCGAATTGATATTTCCCACGAAGCTAACATCGATTCCCGTGGTCCGGGCATGGAGCTTGTGACTCAGAATTTGTTTTGGGGTTTAGCGTTTGGAGCTGTGCAACTTGTAGAGACTTAGTAGGATATCACGAGGCTTGATGGTTTTGTTGGCTGCCCTGATGCAGATGTTTAGTAATTTAGGGTTTAGGGCCCCGAGAGTTCTGAGGAGCTATCTTGCTTGGTTGGGCATTCATGCAGACTCCACTCTCGCATGTTGCTGTGCCGTGTTTTTCAAACGAGCGGAAACCACCCAAATCACGAACAACAACATGTGAGAATTCTTTTTGCTCCAGCACTTGCAGGCTTCATATGGCCTTCAAACCAAACGGGTGCCAGGGTCTTGAAGCGCCTTCTTGGAATCCCTATCCCTAAGGCCCTAAGGGTCCAAGGACCCAAATAATGGGGTTACAGGGCCCAAATACTATAATGAAATTTGTATTTGTGCCCTACAACCCCATTATTTAGGTCCTTGGACCCTTAGGGTATGGTAGTGAGGATTCTGCCTTGCCCGCAGATATTAAGCAAAACTCGTAATTTGGAAAATCCTCAACATCAGAGTATGGCAACCTCGCCCCGTCACCCAAATAGTTATTGGTAGGACTAACCATCCCCCCGAAGTAGCCTCACTTTGCTTAGTCAGGTCTTCTACTGACCACACGGGTTAAACCCACCCCGATATTAATTACGCGATATCGAATATCGGCCGGTTTGATATTATGGCTTCAAAAGGTGTTTGGTACTTTGGGGAAGTGACGCTCCCTAAGTCTTAAGCCCTACACCGCTGCAACTTCACTTGTGCTTCACGGGGTGTGGAGGGGACTTCTAGCACCATCCCCAAATAAGCCCTACTACAGTAGACACAATTCTATGACAGTAACTTGTTCATGCCACTTACGTCTTGAGCACTAGTACTCAATGCAAGGGTGATGGATGCCATGACCCAGAACCCTAAACTCCGAAGCCCACCAGGCCTCATACATGCGGACATGGCCTTGCGAATCCTGCCACCTTCAGCAGAGGGCAGGCCATTTGCCAGCAGCTAAAGAGGGCCAAAGATAGCCAGATAGGTTCTGAAAGGTTACGAGGCAGTTTAAAGAAGTTTACCGCAGCCAATGACTTGTTTATATGTATGCTTACTAAAACTCCCCAATCCTCCCAGTAGGCCCTAGTAACCCTGGTACAAAGCTTGAGGTTAAGGAATGCCGTTTGGGGCCATATCGGCCTAGGTTTAGAACCTCAGGGAAGCCTTTGCTAGAAACTCCTGCTTCGTCCAACCCCGGCTGTTGGGCTCAGGAGCCCCTGTTACCTTCTTTCCGTTATGTAATTACGCGTTGAGTTACAGGGGCTTGGGGAATGTTCTGCTATAGCTATGTAGAATCACCATGGGAATGCTAATAACTGCTGAGTTTTCTGTTTTGAGAACCTATAAACGACTGGATAATGCCAATTTCCATTCCATGTTGAGTTGTCCCATGTAATTTGGCACCAGTACTGACG